GCCGCATGGAGGGCGGTGGCTTCGGGGGGGGACGGTCGGAGGCTGGTGGGGTGGGAGCTTGCTTGCTTGCTGGTTCGGCTTTCTTGCAACCCCGGAGATTCGGACCCTGCTCGCTTCTGGTTGATGCAAGTCAGGCGTGTGTAACGGACCCCTTGCCTTGTGCCTGTTGCCTTGTGACTAGGATCTTCGCTGGCAAATTGTGCTCCGTTTCATCTTCCCTCTCGGTGGACTCAGGGAGGCTCGGTCAAGCGGCCCTTCCAACGACCTGGGAATCGATCGAAGCCGAGGGCCATGTTCGCCTCGAGTTTCGTGGGGTCGCTCACGCAGCTCTATGTACAGTTGCCCCCCAAAAAAACTGTAGGAGGCTCTTTTTGAAGTTGCGAGTGACCTTAAGAGGGTAAATCTTTCTGCTCATCATGAAGCAATAGCGCCTAAAGCAATGCGGGCGAGTTGATGCTTGAGAGCCATAAAAAGGGGGTGGGAACGCCCAAATGCGACTGCCATTTTCTTACTGCGCTTGGGCTAGCTGATGCAACGCGTGGCTCAAGGCGGTGCAAGTCAAACCCAGCTGGCCCAAGCACACCCACATCCCGAGCATGCCGAAAGATGCCCAACAAACAAGCCGGAAAGCAGCCGGCTCAAAGCAAGTGCAACATTTCGAGCAGCACAAGAAGACATCTGCCATGGCAAAAGAGATTGCGGTGCGACAGCTCTCGGGGGAGGAAGAATCATTTGAAGTCCCCACACACACGACCATCCGCGACTTCAAGAGGCTGCTGCACGGGAGGCTGCCCTGCGCACATGAATCAAAGCGCAACCTATGCTCGGTGGAGCTGGTTGTCGGAGACAAGCCCCTGTCGAACAGCCAGGAGATGGTATCAGAGGCCATTCCAGATGCAGAAGTTCTGGCTTTCTTGAGCGTAAAGCCGCTGACATGCTCAAGCGTCCAAGCCTCTGGCGTCAAGCCTGAAGATTTGCGCTGGGCGGAAATCCCAGAAGGCCTGACAGAGATCGAAGATGGTGCCTTCAATGCTTGCAGCTCATTGGCAAGCGTGAGTATCCCCGACTCTGTGACTAAAATTGGGTGGTATGCCTTTCAATTTTGCAGCTCATTGGCAAACGTGACCATTCCCAACTCAGTCACTCGGATTGCTGACTGGGCGTTTCGAGGTTGCAGCTCATTGGCAAACGTGACCATCCCCGACTCTGTGACTGAAATTGGAGAACATGCCTTCCAGGATTGCAGCTCCTTGACAACCGTGACCATCCCCAACTCAGTCACTCGGATTGCTGACTGTGCCTTCCAAGGTTGCAGCTCATTGGCAACTGTGACCATTGGCGACTCTGTGGACGGGATTGGGCGACGTGTCTTTCAAGGTTGCAGCTCGTTGGCAGACGTGACCATCCCCGACTCTGTGACTCAAATTGGAGACCATGCCTTCCGCGAATGCAGCTCATTGGCAAACGTGACCATCCCCAACTCAGTCACTCGGATTGCTGACTGGGCGTTTCAAGGTTGCAGCTCATTAGCAAACGTGACCATGCCCGACTCTGTGACTGAAATTGGAGAACATGCCTTCCAGGATTGCAGCTCCTTGACAACCGTGACCATCCCCAACTCAGTCACTCGGATTGCTGACTGGGCGTTTCGAGGTTGCAGCTCATTGGCAAACGTGACCATCCCCGACTCTGTGACTGAAATTGGAGAACATGCCTTCCAGGATTGCAGCTCCTTGACAACCGTGACCATCCCCAACTCAGTCACTCGGATTGCTGACTGGGCGTTTCAAGGTTGCAGCTCATTGGCAAACGTGACCATCCCCGACTCTCTGACTAGCGTTGGGCGGTGTGTCTTTCAAGGTTGCGGCTCGTTGGCAAACGTGACCATCCCCGACTCTGTGATTGAAATTGGAGGACATGCCTTCCACGGTTGCAGATTTCGGCCAATCAGGAGAATGCCGCAAGCACCTTCTCCGGAGGTCCCACTGAGCAAAGTACGCAGAACCACTTAGATATGTCTACTTCGGAAGACCAGGACAAGCAGATAGGCGTGTTGCACACAGATGTGGTCGTTCTGCACAGCTCCTCAAATTTCAGTTTGGAAGCCGCAACTCCAAGAAAAAAGGTCAGAACGGTCAGGTTCATATGATGTTTCATTGAGCACATTTGCCATTTTATGCGCTGACAAAGGTGTTTGATGGATAATGTGTGTGTGTGTGTGTCTCTCGCTCCCGCTCACTTGCTCTCTTGCTCTCTCTGTCTCTCTGTCTTGCTCTCTGTCTCTCTGTCTCCCTCTCTCTCTGTCTCTCCCTCGCGCTCTCTCTCTCTCTCTCTCGTTAAAATCGGTGGTTACTTTGCTTACAAGTGCAAGTGCTGTAGTGTTCAAACAAACAGTCAACCAATGTAGTCTGCAGCTGCCAACCTTTTGACTCATGCGGAGTAGTAAGCTCAAGGAGTAAGCTCAAGGCCTGCGGTAGTGAACATACATGCAACAAGAGTGCAAAGTGAAGCATGTAGTTTGACACGGCCCCTCAGTTAAAAGGTCTTTGTAGTACCTTTTCAACTGAAGTGCAAAACATGGATTGACAGTAGTGATGAAAACCATTGTTGTTCATCAATTCTACTGTATTGGCAAAAGTAGTGACCTGCGCTCAGTAGTTCACGCTGTTCAGGTTCCAGCTCGATGTAGGGCGCTGGACGGAAGTAGTGAAGGCAGGCACTCGTTGTAGTAGAGCAGGAGCTCAAAAATGTAGTCCCCATTTCTGGGTGCGGTAGGCTTGGACCATCTGTAGTCGACTGTCCAAGGTCGCGTAGTAGTTGGTGGTGAAAAAGGTTGTCATGTAGTTTGGAGCTCCCCGTAGTCGCTCATCATCAATCTCGGGACACGACATGTGTTGGTCGTAGTCCCGTAGAAAGCGGTGTAGTAGTGCTTTGTGGTGTTGTGTGAGGTTGGTCATTGTGAGTAGTGTGAATCCGTAGTATTGGATGCTTTTGCAGAGGATTGTAGTGATTGCTTTGTGCTGGAAGTCGTGTAGTTGGTCTCGGTTCTAAAGGTAATGGAGTAGTTCAGGTAGAAGTAGTGGCATGTGGTAGTTCCAAACGTAGTTGTTCCTGAGGCTGTAGTTGTCAGTGAAGGTGGTCATGTTGTAGTTCACCTTGAAGATGGTCTGTGGCAGTGTTGTAGTCGGGAGGTAGTAGTTGTGTTGTACCGACATCATGTAGGAGATGTAGTCCCTTGTGAAGTGTAGAAACTGTCCTGAAGTGAGGTACCTGAGGAGTAGTGGTTGTTCAATCTGGAGTTGGATGATGACGTAGTTGGTGTTGTCGCCAGTTGTAGTGTGGAGTGAAGTTGTGTGGTAGTAGTGGACGTTGGCTGCTTCAGGTAGTGAAATGCTGAGCAGTGTGGAATTGTAGTGTGGCATCCGAAGATCTCCAGGGATGCAGTGAATGGGTCGTGTGTAGTCCAGTTGTGCCAGTGGAGTAGCTTGTTGTTGTGAGAGTAGTTGATACTCTTCAAGTGTAAATGCAGTGGAAAATTGAGTGTAGGGAATGTTGTCGGGCAGTGGTGGTGCAGTGGTTGTCTGGTGCTCAGTGATGTGTAGTTGGTCCATCACTGTGGTTGGGTTGTAGTAGACGGTGTTGCCGGGTGTAGAATGGTTGAAGTGGTAGTTGGAGTCGTTGTAGGTTTGAGGTGGTGGAGTTCCATGGTCACTGGAGTCTGTAGTGACCGCCACCTCAGGTGTAGTCGCCCTGTCGGGCGTAGTGGCGTCTCCCATCGTAGCATCTGCAGTAGATGAAGCGGCCATGGCTGCAGTGGAATGCAAAATGTAGTGAAACGGGGCAAAACAAATGAGCCTAAGTAGTTGCTACCAGGCAGTCGGCGAATGCAGACATGTAAAACAAACAACTGTAGTGTTGACTCAAGCCGCCAAAAGTGCAAGTGAAAGTACATGTAGTTACTGTTACTTACATACCAAAAGTGTCGTGTTACATGTAGCTACTTACATACATGAAATGTCCAAAGTCGTTGTTGTTGTTGTGAAACTGCTGTGCTGGTCGTTCGTAGTGCTAGATGCGTATTCCAATGCTCTGGATGAGCCTGTGTAGTGTTTCTTTGCTGATGTATTTGGTAAACAAATCTGCGCTGTTGTGGAGTGTGTTGATCTTAAGGATTCTGATGATGTCGTGCTTGATGAGGTCTTGTGTGTAGAGGAATTTGAGGTCCATGTGTTTTCCTCGTTTGCTAGTGCCTTGTCGTGTGGCAATGCTCTTGCCTGCTGTGGAGTCTGTGTGGATGCGTAGGTTTAGCTTGCTGCAAATGTTGGTTTCAAGTAGGAAGTTTCTGAGGTGTAGTCCCTCATTAACTCCTGTGCAAATGGCGTAGAGTTCAGACTCTGCTGAGCTGAGTGCTATTGTAGCTTGTGTTCTGCTGCCAAATGCAACTGTTGTTCCTAGAAAGATGATGTTGAAACCTGAAGTTGATTTCCTGGTAGTAGGGCATCCTGCCCAGTCGGCATCGACATGAACGTCGAGATCCAGGATGTTGTTGGTGTTTGCTCTGAGTGTTGTTGTTGGTTCTATGGTGAATTTGTAGTGCTTGGTGCCGTGCAAGTAGCGTAGTAGATGTTTGACTCTCTTTTGTGAAAGTTCTGTAGGTGCTGTGAGGTCTCGTGCTAGTTCTTTTGTGGAGTATGCAATGTCTGGTCGTGTGTATGCTAACCATTGAAGTTTGCCAACAATTCTTCTGTACCTTTTGTGTTGTTCGTGGTCAAGTAGTGCTTCATCTTCTATTGTTGGTTTGTAGTGTGCAATTCCTGGAGTGTTTCCTGAGTTGCAGTTGTTCATTCCAGACTCCTCGATCATGTTGTCGATGTAGGAGTCCTTTAGTCCAAGATTGCAGTAGTTGCCGAAGTGGTCGATGTTTCTTCCAAGAAATTGTTGTGGTTTGCCAGGTTCGAGGTAGCCGATGTGCTTGAGTAGTACCTGCTTCTGGACGGCCT